AAAAATAAAGGGGTTTAGGTAAGTGGACCCTAAATTTATTCGGCTGGTTATCAGGATAATCAGACACATTGCTCAATAAACAAACATAAAAACTATTCGACATTTTTATTCAAATGAGGTAAATACAATGAAATGAACCCTCTTTTATACAAGTTGGGTTTCGTGGATCCATTCCCTTTCGGGATATCCTATGAATTTTACTAAAATATCATATGTACCATCTGCTCTCTTTTTCTTTCTTATAACCTTCTCTATTCTATACTCTGTATCTGCATCTTTCTTCACACGTGCCAACTCCTCTCTATAGTAATACCCTTTAAATTTGTCTCCCTTATCATTAATAATTTTATATCGAACAGGATAAAATTGATCCTGAACTTTATCCACTCGCAAAATTTGGTCTCCCCAATTTGGAATATATCCCTTTTCAAAAGCACTCTTTCCAATACTCATGCGAACAAAATCTCCTTCTTTCAATTTTGGCTTTCTTTTCTTTGAAATCTCATTACCGTACATTCTCTCCCACACTTCCTGGGCATTTGAAAAGTCAATATCTATAGGTCTTAGTCCATGCACTCTACTCTTTGACTTATTTATTCCATCTAAAATTTTTTCCAGAATATGAACCCAATTAAGTGACTTATTTTGAGCAAAGTATCTGTAAAGTCGTTGCTTTACATTTCTTATGGCTCTTTCAGCTACTGCAGCTTTAACAGTTGAATGAGTAGCCTCTAATTTTTGAATCTCCTCTTGAGCAAAATATTCCTTGACAGTTTTATTTTTGAATTCTAACCCTTTGTCGGAGAATATCCTATGAGGTTTCATAGGCATTTGACCAATTAGTTGTTTAAATGCCTCTAACATATCCTTTGAACCCTTTGATTTAACTGGGACGCCAAAGAGTCGTTTGGATAGAACATCAACTCCTAGGAGAATATACTTATTTCCTTTGTTATGTCTAGAGAGAGCCTGCATGTCAGCCAAATCTACTTGTACATCTGTCATAAAACCTGCCGCTACAGTTTTACTTCTAGGAAAATGTATTCTTTTTGGACGCATAAGCGTATATGTCCTATGCCCCTCCAAATAGTCTTGTACAACTTTTCTAGGTAAGTATTTGAGAATTTTACGTGCTTCATGCCATAACCTATCAACTCCAGAAAAGGCAGCAGGTGAATCTGGGTTATTGTAAAGTCGATTTAATAGCTGGGTGGGGTCGGCCATTTTTACCAAAGCGTTGGTTTAAATCTTTTTATACCGGCTTCTTTACGTTTAGCTTTTATAAGTCTTAGCATCCATTCTCTACCGGCTTTTGCTGATTGAATTTTTGTGACAGGTTTTACTTTTTTCAGGGCAATTAGAGGACTTTCGTCTGGACCTTCCCATTTTCTTTTTAATTTTAGACGTCTTTGAATATCATCGTCCTTACGAGTTTTAACTAACGCTGATTGATCAATTGGAACCCTTTGCTCTCTAATATTTAATTTTCTTTCTAAATATTCCCTTCTTTTCTGTTCACGTTTTAATTTTGCTTCATGGTGTTCATCATATCCTTTCTTCCATCTCTTTGTACCTTCAAACTCTTCTGACTGTCCCCTTTTTGTAATTTGTCTAGTTGGAGGAGAGTCAGATACAAGGGGAGCATCAAGACCTTCAGGAATAGTTGGGATGGGAGGAGATGGAGGAAAATCATCATCAATAGGAGCATTATATTCAGGAGTATAAGGAATTTTCCAATTTTTCAACATCTTTTTCCTTTCTAAATTTTGCTTTCTACTCCTAGCCTTTTCAGAAAGTTTCATATACTCATCTCTTCTCTCATTTTCGTAATTACTCAAATGTCGTCTCTTATTTTGTCCATAATCATCCTCCTCAATTTTTCTCTTGATTTTTTGTCTAAGTGTAGGAGGAGTGGGGGAAATTCCGCTCCTTAATAATTTTCTATGGCGACCTTTGGGTTCTACTTGCTCGTTTGGAGAATTTGGTAAAGGAGGAACAATATTATATGATAAGGCTGGCGGCTCTTGTGGGTACGCTGAATAAGAAAAATCATCGCTCATCCATAAATCATCGTTATCGTCTGTAATATTTGTTGCGGGTCTAATAACATCTCTATTCATAATTGCTCCTTTGGGGTTAGCTACCATTTCAACTCTAACAGGTTTATTCTCACTTTCATTCCTTAGTTTAAGATATCGTCTAAGTTCTTGGTTATAATGAATATTTTTGGCAGAGAGGTTTTCTTTTTTACTTTTAGCATTCTCCACCGCTCTCTTTGTGAAATCTAAATTTGGGTCCCCATAATTATTTGAAGTAAGCCCTCTATAAATCTCTTCTGGAACAAGAATTAATTTTTTTGCCATTTATGATTGATTTTAATTATTTTGATTGGCTTTTATACTAATTGCTCGAGCTAGTTCCATTAGAATAGGAGTGAGAAGAGCAGCAAATACTCCTACTCCTTCACCTTTTTGCCTCAGAACTTTTCTTGCTCCCCGTTCACTCCTAGCACGACTCATTTTACGAATAAATTCCGCATGTGGTAATAAACGGTTCTTTTGACGAGTGTTAAGATTAAAACGGGATTTTACAATATTCAAACAAATTTCAACAATGGATAACAACTGACTAGTATCAGCTTTTCGTAAAAGTTTTTTATATCTCCTTTCAGATTTTGTATGCGCTAAAAAGCGTAAAAAATCTTTATTCTCACAAATTAATTGACTAAACATTTTTGGAAATGAAAATTATCTTCTCTTCGTCGTCCTTAAATATACGTGTACGTAGTCTAAGCGCAGGGTCTGAGGATGCATGTAAATCAATGAGTAAATATCCGTATGGCTCACTTGTTGCCTGTTTGTACGCATCAAGGAAATAATCGAGTTGACGTGGAAATAGCTGTACTCCAATATTTCTCACAGAGAGTGCAGAATTCGGCGACCTCATCAAAACAATATACTGTGCATTTTGACGAGCGACCTTAATCTTTTTCTCAAATAGGTTTTGGGTTACAAAAACAACTGCAAAATTCTGATGGTGGGACTTTTTAGTGAATAATTCTGACAAATACTTTTCATCTATAGACAGGAGCAAATCGTCTAGAATTAGGAGCAAAGGTTTTGAATAGCTTTTTATTAGCTCCTCTGGGGGAACTCCTGCATATACATTAACTCCTGACTTTTGAAGAATGGGGATATTATCGTTCATCTCCCCAAAACAATACAGTACACTTTTTGGAGGGGGATCGATCAAATCTTGGGAGTCTGCTATAAATTTTAATAGGAATGAGCTCTTCCCACTAGAGCTTGGACCAGACAAAATCATACCAAAAGGTAATTTAAAATACAAATCTTTATTAGTAAATGATTGCGATTCCATTATTAAAAAATATTTACGTTAAAAAACTAAAGTTTATATAGGAACATTTTTATCATCCTTTTTCTCTTCTAACTCTTCCAACTTCTTCGGCGATGAAGTTAATCCGGTTGTAGCTGCCATTAAACTATCATAAAATTCTTGGAGCTCCTTCTCAAACTCTACATTATCAGGAGGTGTATCAGGACGAGAGGTATTGGAAATAACATTTGGACAATCAGCTGGAGGTACAAGAGGAGTAGGGGAGCTATGAGGATGAGAAGACAAATTATTAGTGGGAGCAGTTGTAGGAGGTAATTCATCCAATTTCCTTTTCCCTCTCTTTGGATTTTGATGGATAATCTGTTGTTGTTGTACACCATGGGGTACATTGAAAACTCTTCCTTTATTTTTGATTTTGAAAAAGCAGTGGGTAGGTAAATCATAAACTGTATCGAACGGAACAAATCGGGTACCAGATCCAATTCGTGTACAGTATATGGTAATCCCTTCCTTGGTCACAATAAAATCAATCTCCACTTCTGTGCTCTTACACTCCTTACATCTCCCTGATTGATCATAAGGAATAAATCTTGGAGTGGTAAGTCGGGAACTTAGGACGGTAATTCCACTGGAAGAGATATTGAAATCTACTTCTGGGAGGATTTGGGAAAACAAATTTTGATTCATTGCGAAATAATGATACAAAATTCAAAATCTACACCCTTTTATACTCGGGTTTTCAGTGGATTACAACATTACAAACGTGCACGCCCCTTAAAAAACATACGCATGCTCTGAACACATATGCACAACCTAAAAACACATGCATACCCTAAACACGTGCACACCCTTTGATTTTAAAAAATTTTAAAATTTGTATTTTCTTTTGTTAATATATGCACATTTCTCCCTAAAATCAACAATTTCAAACTTTAAAATATGCTTTTTTGCAATTTCTTTTGCTTAATTGTGCACTTTCCTCCCTAAAATCAACAACTTTTAAACGTTAATTATGCTCATTGTTTTTCCTAACTCTTAAATGCGCACTTTTCTCCCTAAAATTTACTACTTTTAAACACTTAATTTGCATAAATTTAAGAAAATAAAAATTTAATTTTAAAATTTTTAAAATATAGGCGGCATCTTCAAAGAGGTTTCGATTGTGAAATCTAGGCAAAACAAAAGTTTTAATTTGCATAAATTTAAAATATCGGTAACATCAAAGAGAAAATTTTAAAAAATTTTGAAATTTAATAAAGGATTAAGGTCAAATTTTAATTAGGTCAAGGTCATTATCTGAAAACTCTGTTTAAAAACAAAAGTCAAATTTTGGGGAGGAAAAGAAACTAGGGATTGAAAATAAAGAATTTTAATAAATTATCAAATATCACTTTAATTAACATAATCACTAACATCTCATTATTAACGATACAAACCGTAATAATCAACGATTAGGGTAATCACTTTCAGAACATCTAGAGTAATCACCTGCCTCGGTAATATCTAGGGTAATCAGGTGATAATTGGTACATGTTTACAAAGGTGTAATCTAGTAACGTACATGGATCATCACCCTCAACAGTGAAGGATTGAAATTACTCATTCTCCACCAATTAATCACTCACCCGTTTGGTTTAACATAATTTTATTGCCACCCGGATGTTTTACAAATTACACACTCTCAATGATTTTCCTCACTCCTCGTTTTGGGTGAACACTTCTCTCTATTTTACCAATCCTCCCTCGCGACAGTGCCTACTCCCTTTGATCTTTGCCGACCCCTCTCCCATTTGTCGGACCCCTCCTCTTCCACGACAGTGTCCACTCCTCTTTGATCTTTGCCGCGGCATGCTCTCTCCCTTTTGGTTTTGTCGGACCCCTCCACCACTTGACGGGGATTAGCTTAGTGACAGCCACGACGGTGACCGGTGACTAACTACTGATATCCATGTAGGAGAAAACACATTCCATCCGTCCGATACATTAGAGTAAAACTAAAAAGTTTAAAGATAAGTGTTGTAGTTACTAGAGAAGAAACAATACACACTTAGGGATCAGAGATATTAAGATATCATATATCGAAATGGATTTAAGATCTTAATATAACATATATCGACTTAAATCTCATTCAATATTGTAGAAGTGAACAGTGTTTATTAATTTAATTCACTTGTATTTTGGATGGAGTGTGTTTTGTCCTTCATCCAACGATATCACACCGGTTATTTATCTAAAAATTTTGATTATTGCCCCCTGTAAATATTCATACCAAATGGTCATTAAGATATCATTCATGGCTAATCCCTTGTATATTTTTTAACCTTGAACTACACAAACGAAAACCGTATTTAAAAACTATTTTTTAAATTTTATTTAACATTTTTTCAACCATTATTATTAGATTTGTATAAAATTTTAGTTTCAAATTTAAAAACTTTTTTTATGGGGTAAAATGTTATTTTGAATTGAAAAATGTTTTCAAATGAAAATTTTCCACTGAAACTCTATTATACATAAATTATTTATTCCGTCAATGTCTCTACACCTGCGTCCTCTACATAGTGGTATAAATAATATTTTAAAAAATTAAAAATAATCAGAATAAACGCAATTATATAAGCATAGTCTCTAGAAAGTATTCGAATAAAATTATAATAGAAAGTTTCCGGAAAATTAGTGTGTTAAATTCAGTTATTACACAACTTTAACAATATAAACATAACGGAAACGCTTTTTAGTGAAAAATTATTTTTTGACGAAATATCAATTTTGTATTTCCAATTCTAAATTTATACAAAGTATTTGTAGAAACAAAATATTTATTTGTAATGTAACTTCTAGACATATGTAGAGTTAATTTTATGTGATTTGTGTTTTCCTTGATTTTTATCGTTTTGTATTCTCTGCCTCTCAAGATGGAAAACAAATGGTAGAGAAACAACAAGAAAAGAAAGAATTGCCTGCGGCAACAGCTAAAGAAAATGCATTGGTTGTTTCTGTAGGTGAGGGAAAAATTGAATTGGGGGAGAGTAATAAAGGGAACATTTTAATGCCAGATCTCAAGGCTAAATTGGAGAAAGATCGCTTAAAACAAGAGAGGCAGAACCAGAAAAATCAAGCCCTCGTTGAAGCGTTCTTCTCTTTTGCGCAGAAGCTGACTGCTCAACAAACAGTGGTCAATGCGCCAGCAGCCACGGGGGGAGTTTGTGAAGGGACCGCCACTCACAAGGAAGCGGTCAACAAAATTGCGGTAACCACTCCCGCTCAAGCACAGTGGAAATGTTCTTCTTCATCTGGGCGCTCTAATGGTGGAGAAAGAGAAAAGAATTTAGGTGAGCAAGATCGGGTTGAGTCCATTGACCGTTATTCCCGTTCAGGTTCTGGGCGTTCACATTGGGGAGTTTCTGATCAACATACAGAAACTTTGCGAAAGGTCCGAACTACCACGGGTCAACTTTGCGGTCAGATTTCTGATGCAATTCACTCTGTGGAATCTGGGAGAGCCAAGTTGACGAATGAGGAAGAACATGACTTACTGGCTATCGATGGGGCTGCGAAGAGATTGATGAAATCGATACACATTGCATTTGGACATACACGTCGTTCTCGCTAAACATTTTTTTTGTTTTTTGCCGGGGGGAGTGTGCCCAAAAGGGCATAAGCCCTACACTATTTTCCCATTCCTCTCGCATTGTTATATTTACGTACTATTTTTATTTACCGCCCACAATTTATTTTGTTTAACCACGCCTACTTTTGGCTGTCAAGTTAGCGCTCGGCTGTCCCTAAAATCACTTCTTTCAATCCTTCTTTCAATTTCCAACTTCTCTCAAAATCTTATAATTTTCTAATTCCTTTAAACCCAATCAATTAAACCAACTTTTCTCCCTTCAACTGGGAGCAGGAGAGCGGAGCACTAACTTAAATTATTTGTTCGCATTTTCACCACATATTTTAATCACCAATTTATTCACACCGCGGATCCCGAGCTGTTATCGGACCGCTAAATTTATTTGTTAATTAAATAAATCTTTTCTTCTTTGGTGTGTGTATTTTTGGGGATTTTGGGTAGGCTGTCGTCGTCATCATCGCTTATAAGTTTAAGAGAACTTTTGAGTTCTCTGTCCTCCCTTTATAAGCGTCCGTCCCTCCCATAGCCGGAGGCCGTACAAATTGTGTGTCCACCCGAAAGGGCTTTTGGGCACAATAGCGGAAGATATATGAGATAAAGCACTGCTGAAACATGCCAAAAGTAAAATTTAGGGACTGACTAGTTTTGATAATGAAAAATCTGAAATTTTTCTTTTTCAACCAAAAAAAAATTAATAAAAGACAGTGTCAATTTATGCAACTTAAAAAAAGAAAACAATTCAAAAGTAAATAATGTGGATCTTAACGGTTAAAAATTTTGAAAAATAAAATGCGTGGTTTGCAGCATTAATCTATGTACATTGAATTAGAATAACTTTTTTTTAAAAATTAAAATAGAAATTTTTGAATTTTATGAACCTAGTTTCCTTCACCTTGCTTAATAATCCTTTGAAATTATTTCAATCTAAGAATAACAGCACATACTGTCGTTTAAGATGTTTAAAGACAAAAATTTCCCCAGCTCTCACGATTAAGATCCTGAACCGAAACAAAATTGTCTTTAGAATTGGGTCCCAACACCACCAAATCTGGAGGAGGCTAGCAAAATTTAGCTGCCGGATAGGAGTCGAAGGTGTAGTCGAAGGCCCTTCTAACCTTTGCAGTTGCTCTCCCATTAAGCTACCGGCCCGATAATTTGCTTTTATTTCCTTATAATATTCGGAATTGATATCCTATCTCTAATTTACAACCATTGTTTCAGAATTACAGTCAAATAGAATGATTCATAAAATTCAAAAATACCCAAAAACCTGAAAAAATAACCAGAATGTCTTTTTAAATACCCAAAAATCCGTAAAATGTTTTTTACTCCAACTCTTCTTCTTCGCTTTGTTAATCGTCTAGATCTACTTTTATGCCGTCAAGTATTTTTACATACTCTTTTGCTTTCTCGAGCACACGTCTTCTCACTTTTTTCAAGGCAGAATTCATCAATTTGCGTAAATTTTGATGGTCCGGGTTTTGATAGTATCGTTTAATTGCATTAACTGCTCTTTCGACTCCAAATCGACCTTAATAAAATTTAATAAAATATTTTTCCCACGATGCTTCTCCTATTCAACCGATATCCTTCCTAATACCTCTAATCCCTATTAATCCACCGAATATCCTCCTAAGCTACCGGGGAAGTAGGAATAAATCCTAACAAGTAGGAATCGACTTGTAACTTCCTGGCAATTATTATTAGGAGCTTACCCACACTCAAATGCTTTACTGACTATAGAAAAGTCTCAAAATAAAAACTTGCCTGTACTAGTCCCACTAGATGTCATAAAATGAGCGCTTGTATTTGCATCACCTATAGCGGCAATAATTGCTGAATCTTTTGTCCCACGAATTTCTTTTACAGGATTTTCAACTCCATAAATTCCAACATAAAAAGTGCTTGTATTAGCACTGTGAGGGTCGTATTTAAGAGTTTGCTGTATTTGGGATATCTTTTTGCCTTTATAAAGTGTACGTGAACTAGTATACTCAGCACCTTCAATAACTACTTGTCCAAATCTCTCCGGATGTCTAACAGAAAATGTATAATCAAAAAGAGCTTTAGCCCATCTTTTTTGCAATTTATCATGCAAATCGTCAAATTCTTTAATTTTATTTGAATTTTCCTTTTTATTTCTTTCAGTTTTTAATTCTTCAATAAATTCTACAAGTGCTAAAGGTGTTATAGATGCAATATGCAATGTTGGATTTGATTCAAAGAGACGAACAACAATTTGTTCGTCAGACGAATTTTTCGCGATAATATTTCCTTTATGGTTTACCGCGTATCTTTTGCCTGTTTCCACTAAAGTTTTTTCCACGGCTGTTTTTATAGGAGATTTTTGCTCTGCCATTCCATAAATGATTAATTTATTTATGCTGGCATAACGTTTTTTTAGTTGTTCAGAAATAAAATCAGCATCACTTATCAATTTATCTATCTTTTGTTTCCTTAAATGAGATCGCATGCCTTTCATGGGATTGCGATAGAAAGTTGCATTGTCTGTAAAAACTTTCACATCATGTTTGACCTTGTCAAAAATTGCTACTCCGTAGTTTATGGATTGTGTTAGCTGTTTTGGCTCTTCTAAAATTTAAAATTTCGTTAATATTTTTAATGGGAATGGATGATACTGAGAATTCTGAGAATTGAGAATTTAAAAGTTGATCGGTTATTTTGTAGACCGACAAAGGCTAAAGAAATCACGAAATATCCCGAAAAAAGTGAATTATCGACGTTTTTTGGGTTGGATTCCTATTACCCGACATCGGGAATTTATTTTTTTATTTAGATCCCTGATACATTTAATAAAAATTTATCATATAAAAAATTTGCCTATAAATTTTGTGCGTATTTGGTCTCTTGCACCACCAGCACAGAAAAACAAATCAAAAGGAATTCCTATTGTTTTGTTTGATTCGAAAATTTTCATTCCTTCATAATTTGTTAATATTTGCTTTAAATGACCATAATCAAAGGATCCAGGACGCTTTTCTGAAGCGCCTAAGATGGCCAAAGGCTTTTCATAGTCTTTATTTATGTCCAAAACTGCTGTAATGTAAATCAAATTCAAAAATGATTTTCCTTTCTGATTTCCTTGTTGAATTTCTTCAGTGATTTCATGCTGAGTCTCCTGACTTGTTCTTTCCTCTTCTTTCTCATTTATATATTTTGATAAATTTTTTAACCGCTTCATCAAAACATTTTCCATATGTTTAATGTTAACAAACCCAATATCTTCATCAAGAATCATTCCCAACGATTTTTCTCCATTTTCATTGTCAAAAAATAATTTATCAAATTTAGTACCCAAAAAGAAACGTAATTGTGACATCCATTTTCGGTCAAAAAAGACAACTCGATTTCTTATATACTCCTCGGAACGATCATTTACAAGTGTTACATTCACTCCTCCTAAAAATTATTTAATTTTAATATTTTCTCGATCAACCTATTTTTGTAGAAGATATGGATCTACATGGCGTTATATCAACGTCGCGGTAATTTACTTAGGGAAAATTTGTTCGATGAAGCTTTTAACGGATTTCGAAAATAAATTTTTAGCTGGTCAGATGCGCCGAAATATGTTATAACATTAAATAGATCTCGATGATGGTGAATTGAAACTCATATTTTTTAGCTATTCTTTATCACATTGCTAGGAAAGATTCAAGGAATTTTTTAGATTTTGACACTCAAAACTCGACACAGACGACTGTATAGTGTTGAGTGTCGAGTGGTACGTGTCCTTACGTGTCCTTCCTACATTGAAATAAAAAGGCACGGAACAAAACACTTGACACTCAACGCTCAACACTCTACAACGGATCATATGTGGGATTAGTGTAAATATTAAAAGATCAAAACAAATTTTAAAAAATTCAAATTACCAATAAAAAGTTTGTAGGTAGCATATAAACCGACTGGACCAGCACCCTGCACTATTGCTCGTTTAGACTTGGATTCTTTTTTGTGTTCCTCATAAATTCTTTTAAAAATAGCTTGATCCAATTTTTCAGTTTGTATTTTTGATAATTCAGAAATCTTTTTTAAATCCTTCATTTCAGAATGATTTTCCATAAAAGAGAATATATCAATCAAAGAGCCTTCTCCCCCTTCAGAATGTAAATCTCTAATAAACACTTTACATTCAATCACCAGTTTGATTAATTCCTCGTATTGTTCATTTGTTTGGATGTTTTTTGACTGCTTCGGTGGAGGAAGAGAATGTTCTTTATCAGAAGAAGACTGTTTATGATAAGAGGTAGAAGGTTCTCCGAAACATACGCATAATTTCTGAAGTGTTCGTTTTATTCCTTTCTTATCATTTTTGTTTTTCTCGGGTGTCTCTTCAGATTGAGCGATCTTTTCCAGGTCCATTTCATCATTCCCACCATCCCCACCATTTTTCAAACAATTTTTAACTTCCTCAGGTGTACATTTGTTAAATAAATTGTGCTCACTTTTGAATTTTTTAATTTTATTTATAATACCGTCCACAGCATTCTTAAACACTCCAACACTATTTTTAAGTTTCTCTAAATTCGCCTTATAAATTTCCCTTTTCTCTATTTCTTTGATTTGTTGAAAATAGTACTTGGTTTTTATATTTTTTGGGGTTTCAATATAAATCCATTCATCATGAATAAGCGCATCATTCGATTGTGTACTCCCTCGAGGCATTCCAGTATTATCCTTCTCAGCAATATTAACTAATTGTTCGAGGCGCCACTCTTCGAAGCCATTCACTTAAAATTTTTTTGTTAATTTATGAACTCAAAATCTCAATGGATCCTCTCATTCACTTAATCTGTAGGGGTCTCCCGCAATAGATACTGGGGGTTTTTTATATTCAATATTCGATTCTGATAATAGAAAAGTCACATCTCATATTCTATCCCGTCAAACCGGTGCTTTGTTTATCAAATTCTCCTGAATTTTTTTGGGATAATGCGCTCCATACGCAGAGATAAAGTTATCATTACTAGTTTAGCCGGTTAAGCTTTATCCTTCTCAATTTAAAAATTCTATGCTTACTCAATAAACGCGCGCGTCTTGTAAAAATATTCCTTTCTTTCTCGTTTTAATGTTATTTTCTATCGCAAGACGCAACGCGACTCGCGCACTCTAAAATATTTTTCTCTAGCTATTTATTAGAATGTCTGACAAAAATTAAGATTGAAAGTCCTTAACAGGCTAACATGTGAATCACTTCCTTATGAAGCCATTGAAATGAATGTTTGACTCGTGGACATTATTTAATTTAAATTTGTTTGTTAAAACTTGATGATTGAGGACCTCTTGTGTATCCCTATGATTCCAATATTTCAAATTCTGATCTTATACTCAAAAAAGTAATTAGCGATTTCTATCCATATGTAAATGTTTCTAACACCACCTAGTATTCCTCCGGTTAAAATACAAGTGTGGTCGCAAGGTTTGACGCAGGGGTTATTAAAGTTTATAAATTCAGGATCCAACTCTAGTAAAACTGCAGATAGACTCCAGAATTTTATAGTGATAATCTACAGAGTCTAACTCCACCTAGTATTCCTGCGGTTAAAATACAAAATCGGGGTCGCAAGGGCTGACATATATGTTTCTTAGAGTTGATAAATTCAGTGTCGAACCCTAGTAAATAACTAAGGATAAAATCCAGAATCTATGAAGTCAAATTTTCTATAATAAGCATTTTACCTTCATTGAAATTGTATCGAGTCAGATAGAATTTATCGGCTGGGAACAATGCATAAATAAGATTTTGTTGTATTGTTGCCATCAACCTAGGTTCATTTATAGCAACATTTTTATCAAAAATTGAAGCCAGAATCAAAGCAAGGCAAACAAGATTGAAAGGCAGAAGAAGCATTTTTGCTTTGCCTCTCATGTCGTTTTTTTCTCCTTTGAATTTTCTTTTATTTTTTAAAAATATTCAAGGCTGTTTAAAAAAAATTTTTTTAATTTAAATTAAATGAATAGGTAAAGAGTGTTAGAAATATAAAGCATTAGAAAGAGGAGGAGATAAATTACTCGTTGACACGAGTATTACAATATCACTCCCATTATACACATCCCATGTTAGGGATTATTGTAAAAAAGAGACAGCAGGGCTGCAGAGAAAATAAATTTCAAAATAGAGGGAATTGGATAAAGAATTTAAAAATCGTAGAGTTTTAATAAGTTAAAAAATGTTTAAGAAAAAAAAATTTTTTTAATCTAACTTAATGACCTTCAAAAATCCTCAAAATCCTTTGGATAAGCCTATAGAGGATTTTAAGAATTTTTAAAGAGTTAAATAACGGAATTAGTCAGTAGCCAGAGAGCGTCGGAAAGATATTTTTTTAATTATAAATGATCCCACAACCCTTATAGACATTTCATAATTTATTTTGCCCATTCCCATTTAACTTTGTTTTTATTTAGTTTTTTTTGTCTAGTCTTGTCTATCCAGAAAATTTCTCAATAATTTTTGAAATGTAGTTGAATTTCTCTCAAACCATTACATAACTACTTTCCCTCACATCAGCTGATGTTGTTAGAAGGGTTGTGTTTTATCCTTAGAAGGGTTGTGTTTTATCCTGATTTGCTTGGCTCCTAGAACCAAGTAGAAAACCAATAAGTAATAATTTCATCGTGGGGTTTGCTGGCTTAAGAGGGATACCGTAGGATTTACCTAGGTGGACTAGGAAGAATATTTATATTAGAGTTCAATACCGGGCCGGTGCCGAACTCTAATATAATAAGGACCGGGTTTTTTTGGGTCCCGGTAACCTGGAAACCAGTGTATATTGATGGAAACATGTTTTTGGGGTAGTTGGGTCTGCTGGATCCCTTGTGGGCATTTTTTAAATTGACTACTTCCTCATTAAAATTAGGGCAACATGGCAGATTTTTTAAATTTAAAAATTCAATAAAAAAATTTATAAATTTTTTCTCTAGCCATTTATAGACTGTCAATGTAGGATATAAAAAATTGATTGAATGTCTTTAATCGACTTTTTAAGAGGCCATTGAGTAAATTTGTTTAATAAATTTGTTTGTCAAAAATTTAAAAAAACTTTTTTTAATGAATAAAGTAAACAATAATTAAGAGGTTTTGAAGCCAACCGAGGATTAAAGGAATATTTATAAATTACTTCATTTAAAAATTAAATCTACAAAAGAAGGGGAAAATAGAAAAGGGGACAATAACACAAAGGTCTGGCCAGATTTGATATCCAGCCCATTTGGAATAAGTATGTCAAGAGTGAAATAAGGATAATAAATAATATATCCACCATAAGTATTTCAGGAAAAAATTTTATTATAACCTAAAAACCCGAACCCTATTAATGATATTTAATAATTTTTTAGTTAACAAATTTTAAATGTCTACAAACTCGGTTTCAATTAATTAGTATAATATTTAATAAAAAATAAAATAGTTTCAATTTATCCAACTCCAAAAAGAATACAATTCAAAAAAGATAAATAATGTGGATCTCAACGGTCAACAATGTTGAGTCCTTGTGGTGAAAATTTAGGGAAAAGCAAAGATTAAAAAATAATTTTTAACGTTTTAATGATACTTTAATTTTTGTCCAGTCTATTCTGAAATGTCATTTAATTTCTTCAACACAACACCGTTCTTATACCTTCATGCGTCAATACATGTCGGTAACAAGGGGTGTGTTTTAGATATATTTGACTCCCATTCTCACATATTACATTCATTAATACCTTATCTAAATACGGTTCTGAGGGTGCATGTTAAAGAAATTCGACGACTGTAGTTCATATATCCTAGTCAATGTTTAAAAAGGAATTAATCCCGAAGAAAAGACAAAGACCGAAAATAATCCTAGACTCAAGATTTTGTTTTGATCTTGCGTCTTGGAAATCATATGTCAAATATTGACAACAATGCGTATAGAATCGAGATCTCGAAAAATTTTCAATGCCGATAACCGACATTTTCGATCGAAATCTCGTCTTGGTCTCTAAGCACAACCAATATAAAAACCAAAAAACCCAAAAATTGTACAAAGTTTTGCTTCAGCTCCTCAATAACTTCAAAATATTTCTTCATTTTGTTAATCGTCAAGATCCACTTTAATGCCCGGAAGTATTTTTACATATTCCTTTGCTTTCTCGAGCACACGTCTTCTCACTTTTTTCAACCAAAAATTCATCAGTTGGTGTAAGGTGTATTGTCCAGGGTTTTGATAGTAAAACTGATTTAGCCCAAAAATTGCTTTATCGACTCCCCACAGACCTTAAATTTTAAATTGAAACAAGACTGCAACCTAATAACAGTTTTAGTAGGAGCTTCTCTAGATGTAGATGCTTTACTGACTCATCTATTGGGCGAGAGCCTCAATTTCTTCTTTGAGATCTTTAGCCCTAGACTGAGGTTTAGATGTTATCATGGTTATCCATTCAATAAATTTGAAATGCCCTAGTTTTTCTTCTTGAGCTAATGCAGGGAGCGGACAAGCATCTTTAGGTGACCGGACTGATGTTTTATCCATCATACCTCACCGTATCCTGCATAGCCTGCAAAATTAAATAGCTACCTATATGCTTTAAATCTTTCTGCCCTTCAAAGTTATTTCGCAAAGTTACGACCCAATTTTAATTCCCCACAAAGGGAATTGTGAATGTCCGTGAAAGATCTATCTCATATAAAAACCAGATTGATTCTTCACAAATAATAAAAATGGGTCTCTGTATAATTTACTTACCTAAAGCCACAAAATCTCTCAATTTTTAATTATGTAATGAAAAAATTTTTCAATTATAAAACCTTTAATTATAGACTTCCTAATAAGAAACTTGCCCGTACTGACTCCACTAGCAGTCATAAAATGAGCGCTTGTATTTGCATCCCCTATAGCTGCAATAATTGCTGAATCTTGTGTTCCATAAATTTGCTTTACAGGATTTTCAATTCCATAAATTGCCACATAAAAGTGCTTGTATTAGCTCTGTGAGGGTCAAAATAAAGAACCTGTTCCGGTTCATGAACTAATTCTTTGCCTCTATAGCTTATACTTGAACTTCCAACATGTTCATCACCTTCAATAACTACTTCTCCTACTCTCTCCGGATGTCTAGTAGAAAATGTATAACTAAAAAGAGCTTTGCCCCATCTTTTTTGTAACTCTTCGTGAAAATTATCATAGTATTCCTTCAAATCCTCATTATTTCCTTTTTCAATTTGTAAATCATCAAAAAGATCTACAAGTGCTCTAGGTGTTATTGATGCAATATGCAATGTTGGATTTGATTCAAAGAGACGAACAACGATTTGTTTATCTTGTAATATCATCTCGGTTAAATACTCATACTTCGTCTTAAACTCATATGAGAGAAAACCAGATTGCCAAATCAATCCATCAATATTTTGTTTCATCAGATGTTCCCTCATATGATTCATAGGATCACGATAGAAAGCAACAGAGTCTTCGAATACTTTAATGCTAGGATTCATTTTATTGAAGATAATAACACCATAATTTTTTGATTCTGTCAATTGTTGTGCTGGCTCTGAAAATATGGAGAGCTATTCTATGCGAAAAATGTTCAACTGTGTCGGCCTAATAACGCGCTCCGCCGGTTGGGGTCAGTTGAGCGCCAGAGAACTTAGATCGGCTATAACTTTTTAAGCCTTGATCCAATACAATTAAGTTTTATATCATCGA